TTAGTTGGATCTCGCCGCCATTCCGCGGGATTCAGACGGTCGATTCTCGTAGGGCCCTACCCTTTCCGAGTCCGGCGATCGAAGCCTTGCGCCCTTGCGACGGCGAACTTGCTCTACTTCGACCGTTCACAGAAGGTATCGAATCGTCCTTTGATGGTCCTCCTGATGAGTCTCGGGATACAACCGACGCTTTTCCTGTGGTGACAGGGAGAGCATTTGACGGGGAATGCGGGGATGGCTTATTGCTGGCGGGGTACGCTTTGGAATCGGGTTCGACAACGACTGTCTCTTTCACTGGGTGCGTATACCCTTCTTTGCGTACAGGAGCGACATCTGCCAGATTGCAGGATCCGTCAGGCCACACTGGATCAGCTTGCAAACAATATAATCTTACACGGTGATTCCGCTGGCTGTCGAACTTGATATAGCCCAGGTCTGCTGGCGTCGGCGTGATGATGATCTGCATGGTTTTATTGGTAATCTTCACGACTTCCCCTGGACAGATAGTTGCTTACGAGGTCTGTAAAGCCTTTCGTTCGGCATCGCTCCCTCTGACTCCTCGCTCGAGCTATCCGATGAACCAGACAACATCCTGAGCGTTGCGCGTTCCACGATTCTGTCAGAAGCGAGTGAGTATATGCCAACCATGACATCGCATAAGGGGCAGGGCTCACTGATATAACTCCCATCGCTCGCGCATGAAGTCGCTGGGGTCAGGGATATGTTTCACGGACGATAAGTCGTACTGAACGTCCACGACTGGAACGTTCTTCGAACCACTATGCTTCAAAAGAGCGGAGAACAATCTGAGCGCTTCGTCCATGTCGAGTGATTCGTGCATGTCAGAGGAAGAATCGTGTTCTAAAAGGGGTCAGCATTGTCCGACCGGCTCCGTCGATAGGCACTCAGACCTGACATACCGAATATGCCAGAGATAGATTCCAGATCATCACAGTCCTCGCCACGTGGGTAGATGATAGGGGAGAATTGTTGATTGACGATCTCGGGAACAGGCCGTGGGTCGAAGTCTGTTGCAATACCGCCAGATGATACCAGGCTCTCCCGAGCTTCCAGAGCACGATGCTGAAGATGGCTTAAGCGGACGAGCTCGGATGTTGGTAGCGATAGGACATCGGAACAGTCTCTTCTACTAGTGGTCACTCGCACGCGAAGGCTGCCGAAAGCAAGGTCAAGCTCGCATTCAGAACGGATGAAATCGGCAGTGGGCACAATCGGCATGCAACTCTCCTCTTCACCATCTCGTCTGTAAGGCGATATTGGTAGCGCGAGCTGAGACGCGATCTTTGGCGTGAGGCAAAACCTCGCGTCGTCTGGGTATGAGGCTGGCCTTCCGGTGTCCCGCACAGGCACTATGAGATACTCGTTCGTTGGCTTCGTCTTGAGAGGCAGTCCCTGTCCCTGCATTCAAAATATAAGCACCGAGTCACCCGGATCTTGGAAAGAATCACTGACTACGCCTTTGACTAGGGCGATGTACCTTGCAGAATGCAGGGCAGCGGCCTCCTTTCGTGCTTGAGCATCGAGATGTGCCACGGAGAGTAGAGGGTTGAGCGATAGAACGACGAAATCGCCAGGGTAAGGCATGCTCGTTACAAGCGGTCGCCCAGGGTGCACAGGGTACCGAAAACCTGTGCTTGCATCGTCTGGCGGCGTCATGTAGGCGCTTAATTAGAGTTCTGTTCCAGATTCACGCGAGAGGTTGTTAGGCGAATATTCTTAGATTCAAGAGACATGGGGTAGCAAGTCACCATACCTGATAACCTCGCACAAGATAGTTGCAGAGAAGGCGCTGGATCAGAGGACACCGCAAGAGATGGTGGTTCGGAGACAACAGCCAAAGGCACTGCTGGAGGCGCCGCGGTCAAGCAGTGGCGCTAAATGTGTGTGGGAATCACAGCACGTGGTGTCGCCGGTTTGGTTTGCGTCGGCAGCGAAGCTCAAGCGAGCGTGACTGCGAGCTTTGAGTTCTACAGTGTCTGCTTCTTTGCTGAGTATCCAAATCCCTCGTTTCGGCCACGCGGATATTTCAGCGTAGCAGCCTGCAACAGCATGGCTTCTGAGATGACCATATTGGGTAGTTGCCACGCTTGCGGCGCGATGATACGCTGAGCGAGCGAACTTCGAAGCTTCTCACAGGACTTTGTACATAATGATATCAGCTCAAGGCGTCTATTTGATCACGCGATGCCGGTGTACTCGGGGCTTGCTCGGGACGAGCTCCCAAAACCGGCTGACGCGCTTTGCTTCTGCTCACCACCTAACATCGCGCACAGCAATCATCCGTTCATAACCTAACTACTCCTCTTTACCTTGGCTCTCGTTCTCATTGCTTCTGCTGGCGCGACGACAAGGCCGCAAGAATGGCATCGATAGACCGTTCTGCGGCCGTCCAAGACTTGGGAGGGTGTCTTGCTTGCGCAAGCGGCGCCACGCGTCTACCACAATCAAATCCACAAGCCGGACCGGCACCTGGACAGATTCGTAAACTTCAGGCTTCGGTCTTCGCCCCGTTAGTGGAATTCCTCGAGCTCGAACTGGACGTCGGACGCGGCAGACCCGGACGTCCTGGCATAATTTCCCCGTTGAGTGATATGGCCCAGTACGAAGTGCATCTGCTGGCCACACTCTCAAATCGTGAAGGCGTGCCGAGCTATGACAAGATGCCGAACTTGTTGAAGTTCTTCATACTTCAAGTTGCCCAGGCACTCGGTGAGCAGGGACGGCCTGCTCGCGAAGATCAAGCCATGGCTAATTGTACGTAGGAGACTCTCAACCTTCGACGGCCGCTGCTGCTGCACTGCTGGACCTTTTTCACATCCATACATGTTCCGAATGGGTTTCCGACAAGGATCAATACGTCATGGCGTTACCGCTCTATGTACCGCGCAAGCCGACCCCCTGGAGTGGAATACTCAAACAAGGCTCAGATCATACTCGTGTCGTAGTCGATGCAGCACCGGGATCCGACTTGGATAGGCTCATGTCCCTCAAGGCCAATCTGATGCGGGCCTGGTTAAACGCCACTGAGAACGAGCCGGAGGTTGTTGATGCGATGATTGAGGAATTCGAGGTATGACACCAGGGTCAGTCTAGTCTCGCCGCTCCGCTATCTGACCTCATTTCAAAGGCATTCGTCGAATCCTATCGTTCTCGCCGAGGCAGTGCGACTCCATCGGTTGTATCCCCCGAATCCAATGAGGGTGCGAGCCTTCCGCAAACTCCGAGTTCACAGAACGCAGGCAATATCGGTGTGTCACACTCCATCCTAGTGCAGAATGTTACTCATGTGGCAAAATGTAAAGATCGCATTCTCTTCTCGTCTACGGCCGACGCTGGGCTTGCTCACAAAGCTCCCGCCGACCCGGATCTCGAGCGGCTGGACAGACTAGGTACGGCGATAGAGGTTCTGTGGGACATACATGGCGTTAACATTCGTATTCTTTGAACAGAATCAAGCTTGTTCTCTCCCATCACGATACCGGTATGATAAAGCCCTGCATCATGTTTCACTGTCATAAACTCATGTCTACTTGCATCAAGCCGCCGGATTCGATCACCTTGACAATGGAGAGCCCTGGAGTATCCGGAGACGTGACACCAGGTCTACGCACACCTGCAATTACAGCATATGTGTCGGGCAAGGACAATGCCACGGCTTCGACTGGTCTCACTCCTGGGGGCTACCGTTCTGTGCAGTCAGGTGAAACCATCCAGGAGCTTGAGCCTTTAGGCGATCCATTGCTCGGTTTACACTCATAACTGTGAAGTCCTCTAGTCACATCGGATCTGTGAATGTTTGGTTAATGTCATCGAAGAAGCCCCTGTGTTGTATACTACGACGAATATTGCTTGATTATTTCTTGGATACGAACGAATGGATATACGGGCTGGACCCAGATGATGCCACTAGTGTGAGTACCCCCTGGTCGGGCTGGATATTGGCGATGCTGTAGCTTTGACTGCTCGCACTCTACACGCGGTCGACGTCTTTGTCTGGCAAATAGTAACTTTGGCTACACATGCGCTTGCCACTGCATCTGTCCCGCAAACGATATCTTTCCTTTGGTAGAGACGCGATTGTGGGTAAGCAGAGCCTACGTGCAAGATCGTTCTAACACTCGGGCGATCGACGTGTTGAGCAAGATCCACTTGATGTATCTTACACTCTCACAACATCCCCGAAAGTCCTTTCTGTTCGCTTTCTGTTCGCTTGAAACGCGTTAGCATGTCTTTCAGTACCATTCCGCGGCCCTAATCGTGTACCTTTGCTGCGCGAAGATAAGCACTGAACTTGAACGTTGCCAGTGATTACTGGCGATCTGTCTGAGCAGGCGGTTAGCAGCGCGAAAGACATATTCATGTATGAACTGACGCCTATACCGGGCGCGGGCACGCAGATACGGATAGTATACATCACGACTTATTCTGCCTGTCGAGTGTTCCCGATGGCGGGAATGGGGATCGTCGCGTCTGTCTCATGCCCTCTCTCGACTCACAGCCTCGTGCGTCTGTCCCGTTATACCGGTCGTACCTCATCCAAAGTCTCGGTTCAAGGTGTTGCTGCGCACCGAAACCTTGAGTACGAGTAAGTCGAGGCTCATTCGCATGCTTTTCAAAAGCGCACTCGTGTGGGAATGGTGTTCTGATGAGCGGTGAAGTTGGCACTGTGGTCGGACCTGCGAAATGAGTCTACGCGGCGTGCCACACGTCTCGTATGAAGCAGCACGTCACCGGTCCTTCGCAGTGGCCTCATCGCCTGGAACGTTGGAAGCGCGTTCCGTGACGCTCGTCCCCCATACTCGCTCATCGACCTCAGCCAGAGAGCATCCCATCGCCCGACGTTCCTCCGCAGCCCGAGTACATCCGCACCCTTAACACTTCACCGCACCCCCTGCTAAAGACACCCAAGCCGAGACCCTACCTTAACGCGTACCCCATTTCCAGTGATGGACCCCCCTACACCCGGTAGGGTGCTAGGAACGCGGAGAAGTTGAGCTAGCGGCGCTCGATGGCGAGCCCACGAGAGCGCTTGCAGGCGCTTGCATATCGAGCTAGACATGAACCTTGATGCTATCTGCAAGGCCGAGGCGCGAGCGGTAGCACTTGTAGCATCTTTCAGTGCCTCAGAAACTGCGACGCGTACAACGTCCCCGGCTTCAAGGTCCCAATGCCGACGGCATACAGTACCGTATAGTACCGCGTTACCACCTGGACCCCCAATCATGGCCACGATCACTTCGCCCGGGCCCGTCTATCATGCATCCCTGACTTCTTTCGTGTACGCGTGGTCAATCCGCATCACAGTCTTCTACAGTTCTTTATGGCCCCAAGGCGCAAACAGACAGAAGCCTCACACGCGCCTACCAATGCGCGATAAGAGAAGCACGACACTTTGAACTTTACAGGCAGAATCGTCCAGGCCGAGGCGCATGCCGGGCGAGATCGGTGAGAAGGAGGCTCGGTTTCTGAAGACGAATGTGCGTGGGCCACTGTCAGCAGCACACCAGGCGACGTGGAGGATCGAACCAGATCCGAGTTTTCGTCGCAGCGGGCTGGGGATCGAGACTGAGCCAGCAATCACTCAGATGTATTGCAGGAAAGTCATATCACAGCAGCATGGCGCAGCTGGTATAGCGCGCGGGGCTCATAACCCCGAGGTCCTTGGATCGAAACCAAGTGCTGCTACTAATTAATATTGTTGTCTTTTTGCATCCTATCTCATCGAACTCTTCATCACCATGCAGTGGTACCGTACGCACAAAGCGTACTGCTAGTCATAATAGCTGGAATACTGCTCCACATATTGCATGTGCACGCGGAAGCTAGAAATCTCATAAGTAAGCGTCGATTGAGAGCGACGATGAACCAGAACAACATCCACACGTAGACCTGCGCATCGTCTATGCAAATCAGTCACGAACCCAGAGAATGGGTATACAGATCGCCCTAAAAGGTATCGATATCTCGGCATAACATATTCAGCCAGAGTCCGTTCGTGAATCATGGGAACGATGCTAAGAAAATGCCAGGTGAAAATGGGGGGATAGGTAGACAACGACAGCTATAGCACAGAGTTGAAGTAGTGAGCGCAGCAGATGACAAGCACAAGCACATACACGACGCAAAGAGAAACAGTACTGATTATACCGGTGAGATGAGAGCAAGCAAAACAGATACAACATCCGCATCCGATCCTCCTCCAATGTCCACATCGATCGCCACACGCCATATCTTACACACCCGGAAACCCTCCCAACGCTCTAACGCTCGCCTCATCGACAGGATCTCGCGGCTTCGCGTACGGCTTGAACCTCCTCAAGCTCGCCTGAGGCGCCAACGCCGCTCTCCGTTCGCCCGCCCAACCCGTCACCATCCCGCCGCCGCCGCCCTGCTGCTGCTGCTGCTGTTGCTGCGCACCAGCACTCGCACCCGTCGGCGCATGACCAGCGTTCAACGACCCGAACGATCCATGCGTCTGCGTAGGTGACACCAAATGCCCCTCACTAGCGCTCCTCGGCACCCTCATCTGCGGCGGCTGAAACCCCGGCGCGAACGACCCCACGACCGGCGAAAACGGCGTCCCGCCCTTCTCCGCGAACCCGCCATACGCCGCATTGCTCTGGTACGGCGTGCCCGGGTACGGCGACCCCGCAGCCTGAAACGGCGTATGCGCCGCAAACGGCGTGTGCGCGCCCCCGAAGCCCGCCGCGGCCTGATACCCCGTGCCCGGGCGCTGTCCACTATTGCCTGATGAGCCAGAGGAGAGCGAGAGCGCGCTGGGCGCAGGAGAGGCGAACGCGTACGCTGCGTTCGGGTTTGGGCTGGGCGCGTAGGCCGAGTGCGAGCCTGTGTAGGGCGATTGAGGCGGGAAGAACGTCGGGCGGCTCGAGACGTGCGACGGTTCGGACATGTATGTGTCGCTGCCGTAGTCGTTGTACGCAGGCGAAGACTGCTGCTGCTGCTCGCCCCATCCGGCACTGTCGCTCGTAGCGCTCCCATACCCCGGAATGGCACTGAACCCCGCAGGCGACACAGCAAACGCGTCGTCCTGCGCCGCCGCATGCGCCGACGGTGCAGGCGCAGGCGCAGGGAAGCCCGCATACTCTCCCGCGCCTTCGGGGAAGCGATGGACGGGTGACGTAGCCTGCGCAAAGCCGTCGCCCGCATCTGCCGACGGACCCGCAACCGACGGAGCGCCCATCGCGACATCAAGACTCGAAGCCGCAGGCGCGGGCGCCGGCGTGGACCCCATCGGCACGTCGACGCTCCCAGCGTCCATCCCTGACGCGTTGACATTGAGCGGGGGTAGAGGCGGCGGCATCATCGTGCCTATGCCACCCAATCCGTTGCCCGTACCACCGCTGCCCGAGCCGACTGAGCCTGTATGAGGCGGCGAAGGCGACTGGCTGTGATTGCTTCCCGAACCTCCCAAGTTCGAGAAAGATATACGCTGGGCGGCAGTGGAGAACGTCGGTGCGGTGTAGTTCATGCTGCTCCGCCTGCTGCCGGGCTTGGACGAGTTGCCCACAGCATCGGGATCGAGCGCGTTCGCCAATGACGAAGTCGGGCGAAACGCCTGCTGCGAAGCCGGGCGGAACGGGATCTGTGATGCCTGTTGATGTTGTCCAGAAGAGTCGCGGTAGTGCGCCTGTGGCTGCTGTGGCTGCGGTTGACCACTCGGATAGGGCTGCGGTGAGCCCGTCGCAAAATATCCTTGCGTGGGCGAAGTCGCAGAGAGCGGGTACGGCGACGTCGGCGAAGCAGTAGCCGGCGCGGGCGGATATACGGGCGACGCATATGCATTGTTCTGGGTATTCGATGATGGATAGACAGACGAGGACGAGAACGGGTATGTTTGTTCCTGTGGATGCGGAGGCGCCGACGCCGAGGCAGAAGCACTGGTATTCGCATTTTGATTCGCGGTTGCGGGGTAGAGCGAGAGAGACTGCGGTGGGGGCCGCTGTGCCGCTTGAATGTTTGAGCCGATATTCGAACTTGACGCCCCGAAGATGTTCGAACCGCCATACTGGGCGACCGACGGGCTTTGGATATTTGAGCCTCCGATGTTGGAGGCGGGATAGTGTGCTGTTGCAGGACTCGCGATATTCGAGCCTGCGCGACGGTCGGCGATATTCGAACCAATGAGATGACTGTTCGATCCTGCCGGCGGCGCTGACTGAGGTGCGATGGGCGTCCGGGTCTAGACGGGGAGAGCTGTCAGTAGGCTGATGCAGGGTGGACCGGATCGAGCAAGAAGCAGCAGGGGTCCATCGGTGATACGAACAAAGAAGGGCGGGAACGGCGAAGTCAAAGGGCCAGGCTTGCGCCCCATGCGCGACGAGCAAGCAGAGGTAGAAGAAATAGGTATAGCAGCGAAGAGGGGATCGAGGGATCGAGCACCGGGGCGATATCACGAGGCTATGATTTCGACCCCGCCGAGCAAATCCAAGCACGGCGCCTACACGGTAAAGTCAAAGCCAGCTCACCTCGGGGCCCAGATCCGTGGTGTCCACTCTCAATCCACCCAGTGGCGGCGACGTGCGCTCAGTCTTGACCCTACTCGGCCCCGCGACAGGTGGTGGCGGCTTCTTAGCCGGCCGGGCCGGCTTCCTGTCCTCCGCCTTCTCTACCGGCTCCTCCTTGACCTTGACCGCGCTCCCGCTCGGTCCAGCTTGAGCACCGGCAGTCTCGTTCAAGCCCGACTTTTCCCTCGCAGCCCTCTCCCTCGCAGCCTTCGCCTTGCCCGCCCGACTGCGCGGCTTGACGCTCCTGCTACATCTGAACATGCCGTCGGGAACGACCAAGCCCTGGCACTCTGGCAAGTTGTCCACCGCCCGAAGCCTGTCGATACTCGACTCGGTATAGTACGCTGTCAGATGCCACTTCTTTGGCGGATTGGGCTCGGGCTGCCCGGGGTGCGGGTTGACGTAGACCGAGTAAGTCTGCTTGACGAGCGGATCCCAGTCGCGAGGGGGCTTCTCGTTGTCAGATGTCGCTGGCTGCGTTGATGATCCGCTCTTGTACTTCTCATAATAAAACAAAAAGTCGTCCCGTACTCGACTCGCACTCCAACTGCCCATTTCGGTTAGTAGGACTCGAACATGGCGCAATAGATAGATCTCGCACCTGCGGCCTTCTGTGAACCGCTCGATTCCCAGGCCTGTGACGCTGTGAGGACCGCGGTCTTCCCAGACGTAGCAGGATCTAGAGTGGGTGGAGTCAGCTTGTGGGTTTACTGCGAAGTTGATCGGACATGTCGAGAAGACGGAGAATGTGAGTATGAGAGAATGAGAGGATGATGTAAGAGTGAGCAGGTTGCACTGCACGAGTCTGTGGTAGCGAGAGATATGTCGAGGGATGCAGCGGAGCCGCAGTGCACGGAGCAAACAAGAGTGATGTGGAAGAGAATGGTTAAATTCGTCGCGGTCTATCAGTAGCCAAGGTCGTGTTTCGGCGTTACGGACGTTCGGAAGGACAAGATGGGCGAAGCGAGATAGCGAGATCCCATACAATGAACGCGGGGCCTATCCCCCGCACTCTGAGACCCGCGACGCACTACGCACAATGCGGACATGACGGTGTGCGGTCGAGGCCGTTGGGCAAGTCAGAAGGGAAGTAGGCGCAGCCGGGCCGGCACTGCGCGCAAAGATGAACGCATACGACACGCAATAACATGAGGATTTATGGGGGACATTCCAGAGGGTGCACAATCCGGGGTGAACACGCGTTGTCGGCCTAACCGAGGCGAATTTGCAAAGCAAGAGACAAGGCTCGGTACTCACCCAGTGCGCAGGGCATCTCTCTCGGCCGCATCGAGTCGCCGAGCGATCAGAGGCAGCCGGCCGAGGAGTACGGCATAGAATATCTTGTGCACGTCCGCGACCGAACGGACGAAGGTGTCAGTGCACGTCGGCTGCTGGTGTGCCGGCGCGGACGAAGAGGAGGCCATCGGGCGTGTTATCGGGGTATAGGCCGAAGTGGGGGTGCGGGGGAGTGCGCGGCGCGGCGGGAGATGCCGTGCGGCGTCGGGCAAGAGTCGTGCGGGTTGAAGAGGAGGGAAGAGGTGATGGTGTGGAAAGAAGAGGCGAATTCGAGCGCGAGCTCAAGCAGGTCGCATCTTCCTCGGCGCCACCATCTCCCTCCCGCGCCCCCTCCTTCCTCCTTCCAAACGCTCGAGCCAGCCCCGATCACACACTTCCACGCGTCTACGAGAACTTCTTGAACACTCTTTCATTGTCCCCTCCCTTCTTATTTCATCTTAGTACCCTTTAATCCTCGGTGCACCCCGGGCGGCTAGACCCCGCCCATGCGATCGGTCAGAGGGCCCGTTCGCAAGCTCGCGATTCGAGGAGCAAACAGCCATGATCTGCTGCTCAAGGAGCCTAGAGTCCGCAACCCGTGCGAGCGAGAACGAGCAAGGTTTCGGTGCTTTCCGAACGTGTAGACCAGGAAAGGTCGAGCCAGGATATCGTGCGCGCACGGCTGCGCGTGTACCTGGAGAAGCAGGCGTGGGGGACGCGTTCCAGCGCCCAGGGACGGCAGAAGCAGATCGGATCGGGCACGGCGCGGCAGGGCGTCGCGGCCGAACGGAGCCTGGCGTGTGTGTGCGCCGCTGATTGAGGTTTTGACGGCGGGCGAGGCTGGTCGTGTGTGGCGAGTGGCGATGCTTCCGCTTCGACTCTTTGCACGCTCTGTCGTCCTCCCCCCGTACCAATTTCACGACGAGGACATCAGCGACTATCGAGGACGCCCGAACGAGCATCCATGCCAGCGTCCATGACTACGTTCAAACCATGTCACCCGCACCATCTATCATCTGCCGCCATCTATCCCCTCTGGTTACAACTTCCGACAACAGAATGCTCGACCCTACGCGTCAATCGCCAACTTTCTCAGTGGCGCACATCCGAACTCAGCCCGGGGCGCTTAGATCTACACTTAATCTATCTGGCATTCAACTCGGGAAGTATGACTTCTCCGCGCATGTCACGGAAGACAGCCGGCGGCTCTCGAACGGGAAGCGCGACTGCCTCTGCGTTCCCGATGAGGATAGACGTGCATCGTTATGACCATCGTTCATGATCTGCGCGACGTCTCCCGTAGGCAAAGTCGCCGATCGCGTCTGTCATACTACGGGGCCGGCGGTGACGGCGCCTACGGCTCATAACCGATGGGCGGGTCCGCTCGGGCTCTCGCCTTGGGCCCGGCGATCCCCCAGTACCCCATCCCCTGCACGAATGTACTCCGACCGAGTCCCGGTACTTCCGGACCTCTATTACAACAGTCGAGAACGTCTGGATTCGGAAGACGCCCTACTTCTATGCACGGCGCCGTCTTCACAACCGCGATCCAACGCGGAGCGTGGCACGCTTTGCCTGGCAGACTACAGCAACTCCAGCCTCTGACTCGACTCTGAGCTCTCGTCTAGCCAGCCACGTTCTCTGTCAGATGCTTCACTACTACGCCCACTCTTCATACACGATCGATGTGCAAAGCTCAACGCCGAATACGTCTATATGTACTCGTCAAGATGTTGCTCTGGCTTGTATACACCATACACGTTCCCACACGTGTTTTTGGCTTTCTTCACACCGCAAACATGCGCTCATCACGCCTTGGACATGCTGCGAATACGGCTAAGCCTTAAGTACTCACGACCACAACGTCAATGTACGTTTTGCGCTCCTTGCCGAATGATACCGCTCGGACCGTCGCTGACCTGCAAACGATATAGGATAGAGCTCAGCGCGTACCGTTACCTTCGGCCTTGAGGTTTAGGTGGCCTACCTCGTTCTTCGTCACGGTCCTTCGTCTGTTGTTCCAGAAGCCCTACGTCTTCTCCGCCGACTGCCACTCAGCGACGCCTCGAATTTCACATGTTTGTCTGGACTGCACAGCCGAATAGCATCGCACCCCCTTCGTCGTTTTCAGCGAAGTACCCTGAGGACTTTCCCCATAGCAGGCTGCTCTACACTCGACGCCATGGATCGATCCCCCAGAACTCTCACGCCACCCCGGTTCATCTCGGGGGCTGACCCAAGGAACGCCTACTTCATGCCCGGCACGTTCCGCATAACGGTCGACCTCCACGTACATACATGGACGTATACCCTCGAAGATGGCAGCGACGCTCCGCGATCGTCCGGGATTCGTATTTCAAACATACAGCCGTTATCTACGCGACGACCATCTTCGTCTTCGCTCACGAAGATCTCCCGGGATATGCTGAGGCCGTCCTGATCGAATTCGTCATGCCCCGTTTTCCTACAGGCCAGGCGCAGTACTTGGTGCAGGCCCTCGTCAGCTGTACGTCTCGGCTCTACAGACTACAACGAACGTTCGGTAGAAGCACTGTCACTCTGCAAGGGGAGGACGCGGAACGTGTGCGAGTTGGGTCCAACCTCGAATCTACCTCAGATGCCTCGTCCGTCCCTCCAGAGGAATGATTGTTCTGGACACGTTCCTCTCGACGAGGACATACCACTCTACGTTCTGCGCTGGGCAACTCGGACGGCAAGATCTGACCCTTCCGCTGGAGGCATCACGATTCGGCACCCTGCTCGTCCGAAGGCGTCCATTGGATATGTCCTCTCAGCGTGTCTTTCGCAGGCGACCACTTGCCGCCCGCGCTCGGCCGATGCTCTCCAAACCGGCCCATCACATCTCCGCAGCGCCCCGACTTCGTACTCGGGCGTCATCTTCCATGCCTAGCCGACAGGAATCAGGCGCTTCTTCTCTGAACATCATCGTGTCAACCTCCTCAGCCGAGGAACAGCTCTCGCACACCGCACTGCGCCCTCGCCGCCTTCGCCTTCTACTCCTAGGACCTGAGTGAGGCAGTTGACCATGAACAGATCGTCATCCGAGTCTTACGATTCTCCACCGCCCGTCTATCCGTCTCTTTCATCGCACGACCGTCGCGCCCAAAGCATCTTCTCCGCCTTCCATCACTTCCGCCCTGAAGCGCGCGTCTTCGTGTCTTCGTCGCCTCTCGCTCGCCGTTCGGCTCTTCGTGGATCAAGCCTCGCTCTCTCCGTCGTAGGCCGCCGTGGCCGCCGTCCGACTCTACAGCGCACAGCTATCTTTGCGCTTGTACGGGCCCCGAGATCCACCGTATGCTCCGGACGGCATCCGACGCAGCTGCCCATCGTCGTCTCACTCGGGCCTCTTCCCATTCCTCTTCCTCGGATAGGATCGCAAAAGGAACCACCTTCGGGCGCTCCAGACTCGACTGCACCCATACTTCCCAACGTACCTGTGGCGCAGGGCTTCTTCTCCACCCGCCCGAAGAGCCCTGAGAGCGCGCCTCCACGCCTAGGCGGAGAAGACGAACGTGCTTGTATGGCTCACGCACAGAAGCGCGCTTCGCAACCACGGTTCATCCTCACGCGGGGATCATCCTGAATAGGAAGACGGTTCGGTTCTTTGACATGCTAAACCGTCTTCTCCCGTTGTTGCTTGATCGCTGCGAGCCTCGAGGCGGGGTACTCGGCTTTGGTCTTCATGCGCGGGCGACCTCGACGATCCTCTCGTTCTTGAACGACCGTGCTACAGCATATATGAAGGACGATACGACCGCAAGGAGATCATTACGTCTAGAACTGGAGCGCCCGTCTCTCACCTTGCCGGCAACCTCTTCATCCCGTGCTCTCAAAAGATGACCTCCTACACCTTATACAGGCTATCATTCCCTTTCGTACCGTGTACACGACGCTCTATCCATCGCCCGTACCTGCTGCGGCCGTACGCGACCCCTTCGCACCTCGGCTCCAGCAGCGCGCGTAAGGTTCCGGCGCGCGCCGAGCCCGCATCCCGACACCCCCTCCGCGCCCAACCGACCACCACAACGGAATCCGGCTCCCCCGCACACACGCACATCCGGCAAAGTCATCGTGTACACTGATTGGCTTCCACTGCCTAGACTAGTCGGGCGCTAAGATACTATTCTTCCCTCGCCCTCGTACGGCATACACTCGCGTTCTCGCGGTACTGCCCACCTGACGCCCGTCTGACTCTTCGCGCATCCGCTATTCGCTCGCGCAGTGCCACAGTCCACCCGCGGGCCTTCTGCCTGACGTTACTAGCCACATCCGACCCATTGAACGACCTCGTCCGCTCTTCTCGGTTTTACGTCCTTACGCCTGGCAACTGCATAGCCATACCGTGTCGACAATTGCCGGTGGGCTTCATGACTTCGGTTGTACCCATGGCCGCCTCTAAAGCGTATCACGAGTCGGGAAGCGCGGGCTTCGATCCACCACGCGGCTCTCAGTGGGCCGCTTCTGTACATGTCATACCGTCGATCCTTCCTTTCAGTACCAAAGGACCTTGGAAACTCGCGTGGGGCGGCTTCGCACCGGATCGTCCCAACATCGTTGGGCGTGGCTTGCGCTGGGATACGCAGAGCTTTGGCCGATTGGCTCTCTGAGCCGAAGAAGCAGAAAGTAACAACGTCAAAAGTGACGCGCAAAGCCCTGTTCTGTCCAATGGCGCACACTACCAGCCATATACGCTGCCGTCTTCGGGAGCGTTCTATGCGCTTTGTGATGCTCGCCACCGTACATCCACCTCGCTGGGTCATTCCGATCTACTCCGGTCTTGCAGGATCACGTCCTACGTGTCTACGTAGCGCCTTTTCGCCGCCAATGTCCCTCGCCGCTCCGAGAGCTGACGTCTGTTGTACGTCTTGCTAGCGCCACCCATGCGCTCGTGCGGCGATATATCGTGGCGCATTTTCAACACTTCGATAAGAAGACGTACAGCACAAGACCAATGCCAACCCCTATTGTATTGGTGAGACTGTACAAGCTGGGGGGATCGGGAGTGGGCAAGGCGCGTTTCTCGCGCTCAGACAGTAAGGGACTCCCAGGGATGTCCAGATTATGTTCGTATATGCGATAACTAATATGTGTAGAAAGTAAAAGTGAAGAAATACGAACTTGTTGTGTCCATGTCAATGGGAGCCAGCGACTCGGACCATCAAGCACCGTTCGCTCGCCGGCGAACTTTCACGGGCGACGCGTGGGATTGTGTCTACTGCACTCATATGCACATGTTGATAGGATATGGGTATATAGTCACTCAATACAAGTCGTTTAGGTGACGAAAGACTCGAGTACTGTACACATTTTACGGAAGAAACGCAACCCCGTCACACGGGCTCCCTCGGGCATGCCTCGGGCATTAGGTGCCAGCCCTGGCCTGTGGTCGATTATTTTCGAAAAAGATCAAGGCTTGCGAGATCTTCCGAGCGTACATGTGACCGGCAGAGTCCTCGCAAGCGCGCATCTATGACAGCTATAGCACTACCATGTCTTTCCCGACTTGCGAGTGAATCCAGGGACATTCCGGCCATTACCCCGCCCCCCGTTGCCCCTAGCTGCCGGACGTCGTCGCACCTGGAGACAGATCAGTCTCGACATACAAAGACGATGAGATGATGGCGTCCAACTTTCTGTGTGATCCATTCGCCCACGGAGATCTTCTCAGACGGCTCAGAAACAGGGTGCTCTTTCGCATCTACGGACGGGTAATGTTGAGTTTTCTTCACTCTGTGCGAGAGATTCTGTTCCCTACCATTCAATCGCGTTCCTTCCGAGGCTCGACTCATGGATGGCGATAGTTTCGTTGAGAGCGGGGTCTTCCAAGCTCCCTGGAGCTTCTCCGTCTGCGGCGACATGGTAGGAGTTGTGAAAGGTCGGACCTCCGGGATGGAAGAAACGCTCGAAAGGGTGGCCGTGGTGTGATGAACAGCTTGCATTTCCAATGTGGCGGTTTCGGTGGGCGTCCCCGAAGGCGGCACAGGCCGGAAAGCTGGTCCGGGTGTATTTGTACCACTCGCAAACGCAGGTTTGCCGTCGACGGACTCTCGTGTTTGCTCAGTGACCGGGGTTGTCTGTGTAGAGCTGGGAAGTGGCGTCGCGAGGGGTTCAGCGACCGTCTTGCCTGAGGGAGGTGGGTGAACGTGTTTATTGATAACTCTCTTATAGGTTCTGTCAGTCTCCGATGACATGATTCGGCAGACGCACACGCACCCTCAGCTTTGCCAGTACGCCATTTTTCACCTCGGGCATATCCTCTTCTGTCTTTCGCCACGCGCGTTCGAGTTCGTCACGGATAGTGACAAGACGGTCCTGTTCGTCCTCCTCCATCACGACATGGTAGCCATCTTGTCGGAAAACTGTATACAAGGCTTTCCGTGGAAGTGCGTAAGACAGTGTGATAGCATATTGCTTTCGCTTCCCCCGCCATGCACGACGAGTATGTATATGCAACTTGGATAGCGGCGCGACTTGCGGAGGAACGTCTGGTTGTGACTCCCTCCCTTCGTCGCTTGTATCTGGGTATGCAGTTTCATTTCAAAACGTGCCCCGCCGTGAAGAGCCAAATACGAACCAGAAGATGAAATCTGAGCAACCTGTATACAGAAGAACTTCGCAACCTCCGGCATCGCCCAGAGACCTGGCTCTCCGGGACCAGGAGTGAAAGTAGCAAAGAGCGAAACCATACATTTTTCGTATGTCTCATCGAACCCAGTGACAACAAATGGCCGATTTCTCCCTTCGAAAGCTGGTGTCCCAAGCTTGAAGAACTTTATGTAGGGGGAAAACACGGATACTGCGGCCCATCGAATTTCGCCCTCTTGAGGGAACTCCTCGTTCCTTGGTCCTGGATACGAGGGCGTCTCCGTTGCTAGGTGTTCTGGCCATCCGGGGCATCTGGAACATACTGGGACCGCTTGGGTAGCATCATCGCGAGGATGTTTGAGAACCTTCAGCTCGAGCTCCATACGCGACACGCCAAGGTGCACCTATGGGAGCGCTCTGAGCGAGCAGGCAGATAAGAGGGGAGTGTAAGTGAAGCCCAACGCGCCGTGGCAGGCGCTATGAGGCTGATGAAAGTTCGGGAAGGGCGCGAAGATACTCTAGTCGCAAAGACGGGGACTATAAGGGCTCACGACATCTACCTTCGGCGCTCGCAACAATCAGGTCAGAACGCACAACAATGGCTGCTAGTTTGGGATGAAACTTACGAGGACAGATATAGTAAGAGTGAACGCCCCTCCTGGCCCCTGGGGCGCAGCATGACGGGAGTAACGAGCTTGTTCCCGCGGAATATCGTACAGCAAGTCTTTATCAGATTCTTCCGCGGTGAAGCACATGCTTGAAGAGCGCTGTTGCTCGTATAAAGTCTGTGGAACTGCTCAGCGCAATTACATCAATCACTACGAGAGTCCGGGGTACACGCTATTGTACCACGGAGATGAAATATCCCTTTCATCGTCTGAAGCATGTCAGTATACTACGACAGTCGTCGGGCCTGGACACCGCCAGAAGCGGTCTCGCAGACTGCCTGAGTACGCGGCGGGCTCGTCGGTGTTTCAGGCGCACTTGCAGGGACAAAGAAGCCTGGCCCTTTTTGGCCATTCCTTTTTCCTCATTATGACAAGGTCCGCCGCTAAGAGACAGGCAAGCGTACTTCACTACGAGCGCCCCTTTGTGAAAACGTCGAGGACGGCACTGTAGGAGACTGTAGGAGGAAGAAGACAATCGAAGACAAGTGCGCGCGGCTGTTGTTCATCCGGCGTGAGAGAATCAGATGAGCCTCGAGGCAACCACGTTTCGCCTATATAGATCCCGCTGGTCTCTGCGTCGACCGACAGTACTTGACCTTTTGTTGGCTTCAGAGAATCGTCTCTCACGACAGAGCCTTGTGCTCAGACCGTCAATGTCGGGAGTTATAAGGGCAAGCGTTGATGCTGCTTTTTTCTGACATCTCCTGCCCACCGCGGCCCCGCAGGACACCCGCGCGCATCCACCAGCCATGGGGAAAGCAAAGAAACCCGCATCTTCCTCACGTACAGCACCATTTCGCTACGATGGAGCTAAGGATCTACCTGCTAGCTGCATGCCGTACATGGGGGACTTCGTCGTCCTCTCGCTTGATCCTCAACAATCTGTAGCTCATCTTGACGATCGTGCCAAACGCCTGGCATCTCGACTGGAATCAAGACAGTACCTCGCCGTTCCAATCATGAATGTGCGTATAGTGCACTGTGCCTTATCCGATGACGCTCTAATTGATACTGTTACAGGGTACTGGCCTGCCATCCAAATTCAAACCTACGAATGAATTCTTCTTCGCCCTCGTACGCCAACGGACGGATGTGGGGAGCAGCGAGCGTGTATCAACCCCGCCGAGCTATGATGCGGTATCCAATACCGTACCTGGCCTCTCAGTACCTATCGTCCCACATGCTGCTGCATCCACCCTTGACCATCCACCCCTCGTGGCAGTTGCCGACTTTCCCTTTCCGGATTGTGAGGTCGACCTTGCAGTGGGTTCCTTGTACGTGCGCGTCACGAACGTCAAACGAGACAGGACTCCTGTGCTTCCGCTTCCGTTTAAAGAGGTCATCAGATTGCAGCGCATCCGCCGCGCTCACATGCGTCGCGTCGCAGAGTTGAAAGCCGCAACTAGAGCCGAACAACGATTGAGGGATAGCGGAGCGCCACCTACCAGTGAAGGAGGTAAGTCCCGGGCACCGATAATGCCTATGGAATATATACAAGACAAGAGACTAACATGTGCTGTATAGGTCACCTTCACCACGCGCCGGCGGTCAATGAATCCCCAAAGCCCACTGGTAAAACGAAGGATATGGACAGAGTTCTCATGTCGGCATTGCTTAACTATGCAGGGAACCCAGACATTCCTGTTGCCAACGTCTGGTACGATCTCAACGCGGTCGACGTGGTGAAGGATCCTTCTGCGCTGAAACGAGAGGAAGAGGCGATCCTCCGGTACGTGTTTGTTCCGATGGTCCCAGACGAAACGCTCATCCATCATCACTGTCAGAATCATGCGGGATGCCGAAGTTCGAATGGCTCGGGCAGGTATTCAACCACAGTTTCCTTCACATTCGATGCCCTGGGAGGACGAGCGCATGAACGACCTAGGACATCTTGTACAAGATAGCATGACCGGTACGGCCACAGTCACTTCTGATTATCAGTCGTGCCGCCATGCTGACCATGCCTACACGGGCACAGCAGCCTTGCGCAAGGTCTCTTCGAGCATAATCTCGCCCGCCCGCGCTATATTGCGGCGCTCTTGGGGAGGTGGCTGGAAATCACTGAAGCGGACAGGCGCCCAAAATCTGCGGGCGCAGCGTACAACATCACCAGCGTCTATCTCCACGCCGCCGACACGAGCGCCATCACCTTCTACGGTGCCTGTCGTGCAACAACGAGAAGCTTCCCCTGCCCCCACAACAATTCTTACATACGAAGAGACACAGCCGTCATCTGCACTCGATCCGACGAGTGTTGCACAGGACCTGCCTGTACCTTTTGTTCCCGCCGCGCCAGCGCCTCCGCTCGCTGAGCTCCCTCCTTCTCCAACCCAATCCAACCGAACTCAAGAGGACCGTGCTGTTGGAGAGAGCCTGTCTTTCACTCCCAATGCTCCGCTTGCCAATGTATACTCATCTCCGGATACCAGCCCGGCACTTCCTGGGGAGCATCTACCGTCGCGGAAGGTTGGCCGTTCAGGAACAGCTATATCCGAGGAGTCCGCATCTGGTCCATAGAAAGTTTGACTCGTCTACCAGTGCGAATGTGCTAGCATACGTATACATGCGCCTGAATCCTCATCTTTTTTTTCTCTCGTAGAGCAGACTCCTCGATCTACTAGGGCACACATCGGATAGCCCGGTAAGGCCGGCCATGGGTTTGCGTCGTGATGTCCGGCCGAGAAACCGCTCAATCGGGACCAAAGGTAGTTGGAGGATGTAAGATAACATGAAGAGGTGAAAGTGTCAATGCGGTAACACCACTGAGCTGTAGTCAATGCACGGCAGTCAATGCGGCACGTCGTGGTTTCAGGCGAAGTGCCCTCTAAGCGGTGTGGTCCTAGTGAGCAAGCGGAGATTGCCGCGCTTTTGTTCGCACACCCTATAAAGAGACTACGACCAAGATTCATGAAGAGCAGCGCGTCTTTCTCCCTTGGTCCATCAAGTACGCCCTCTTCCTGACCCTCCGCTGTCTCTTCATGTCGTCAGAGTCCCATCAACCTGTAACTCTGCGATATGGCGAAGAATTCGTCGCTAGGCATTCCTTCCGCTACCTGGTGCGGCCGGCCCGACCGGCCTCCATTCCAATGCCGTATCCCGGCGACTTCGTCGTTCTATGCTTAAACCCCATGCTTTCTGTCGCGCATCTGGACGACATCGCAAAGAAGCAGGCGTCGACACTGCGAGTTGGTAAATACGTCGCATTGGTATCGAAGGCGGTATGCATTGTTCAATCTCAAACATCAAGTTTATGAGGAAGCTGACACTTGACGCCGCAGGGACAAGGATTGCCTATGAAGACTAAGCCAACTAATCACTATGTTTTTAAACTCGTTCGCGATCAAGCTCGGCATCCGGAGAGAGCATCCTCTGTCCCGACCGACCTAGCTATCCCTATCGCACCGCATCGCCTACCGAATCAACGAGATCAGCTCTGTCCTGTCGCTGATTTCCCCCATGCCAACTGTGTGCTTGACACTGTTCTCGGAGATATACATCTACGCGTGACAACAACTGAGAGAGACGGTACACAGGTCCTGATCACCCCAACTTCCGAGGTTACGCGCGTTCGGTCCTTGCAGACAGGTTTGCTGGACAGTTATACAATCAACGCCATCAGGTCGGGGAAGTCGCATTGTCTTCCTCGTCATCCATCCGCTAGTATCCTTTTGCATGACTTTCCCATACGCCCTCCCGCCCCTCCACAGCGGGACTGCCCAAATGGGAACTCCGGTGAGTTCACCCTCCTCTCGGAGGAAGACTACGTAGCCCTGACAATGACCACAGATGTTGAATCGCCGAACTCTGTCGAAATAAGAGATCTCACCAACATCTTTGCGCACTTCCTGACCCACCCTGGGCACTTGAACATCCCTGTGGTCGACGTCGAGTATGATCTCAATGCCATTGACTCCGTTGCAGATCCGATGGAGTTCATGCGTGAGCGCTGGGCACTATATGAGTACGTCCCTCAAAGGCGTGCCCATTCCTCACTCACCTAACTCGGGCTTGTATAGGATCGTTCGTATGGCGACGGAGCGGATGCGAGCAGCCCATGGCCTTGATCCAATCAGTTAAGGTGCCTCCGTACGTGCTCTGGAATAGTATGCGCCTTCTTTCTGCCCTGCATGTCAGTCCTCGCACGTCAGAGTTGGTGGGAGGTCTCCTGGCGGTTACGGGTGTCATAAGAACTTGATTCAATAGACTGGAATGGTATAATACAGAACAAGCTAGTTGTGAATGAGTTATTGTCGTATGAGAGTCATTGGATGGCAAATCTCGGTATACAATGGGCTATCCGTGCCCTCTTGCCAACCATACCCCTCCCGGAGGTCTAGTACCAGCCGACGCGTACCGGCGCCTCAATGATGCACTTCAAACCCATGGCCCAAGGCCAAGTACGTCAACCAAAGCCCTCGTGAAGGGCACCATCACCGTATCGGGCGCTCCGGACCCCGCGGAAGATACCGTCACCGAAGTCGACGGCGGACGCCAAGGAGCTCGGCGTGGCCACCGTTGCCGGCCGAACCGGTACCGCTGTATGCTTGTAGAGTCGAGATACTCACTGACAACACATTATCCGAGCAGGTTCGGACAGTGTTTGCGCCCATCGCTGTTGGGGATCAAGGTCGAGGCGCAGGGAGATGTCAGCGTTCCTGAGGACGGGGGTGCAGATGTCGGGTCCGCCGCGAGTATTGTACCGACAAAGGTGCCAGTCCTGGCGGAGATATTGAATGCGGCGAGATGATTCTATGTGACATATAATGTTGACGGTGTGCCAGGGGGCTCGAACTGTACATACCTGTCGGGTTAAAGATGAGTGAGTTGATGGATGTTCGCGTGAAGGGCACTCCGTACGCACCAAACCCACGGGCACTACAGTGCTGACTTACCATGCTGAAGAGCCGCTGGAAGCAAGGCAAATGCGCCGATCCGGCCGGCTGTTGTGTTCATAGATACGCGCCCACTCGCAGACCATGGTATAGAGTTGGTGTTGGTGCCGCTTTTATCTCTACTGGCGGCGCATCGACCCAGCTGAGTACCAGAATATGGTGATAGGTTCCCGCGTAGCCGGTGAAAAGTATATTGAAGAGCCAGTAGACAGATGTCCGTGGTGCAGATGACCGTCAGAGACGAAGTCCGCGACGCGAGGTGCGCGCTGATATTCGGACCGCTCATCTGGTGCTTCCCTCGCTGCTTGACCGCATACGGTCATGTTCGACCTTGCACAGTCCTTTCTACACGCGGCGCCGCGTCCCTCGCACCCAGCCGCTACTAGTGTAGTATTCGCAGCATATGCCCACGGATCAGGATTTCCGGTCAGGCCGTATGACCAGATATCAACTGTACGCGCGCGTCTCGATGAACCTCTCCCGTCTCCGAGTCGATGCGCCGCGCGAGTCCACATTGAGGGGCGGGCAATAGCGGCCAATACATGCCAGAGAACTTCAAGTCCACGTTCTATCGTGTGGTGATTAGCGCTGTTCAGCCCAAGCTTCGACGCACGAGAGTCATGGCAACCTGGGTGGTTGTCTGAGCTGAAACCTTTTGTTCACCTCCGCATATATAATGGCCACGGTGGCGCGGTATGTATATTCAAGTCCCCCCCCCCCCCCCC